TTTTTCTGGCATAATGTATGGTAAGCGACAACTTTCAAACTAGAGAAATTGTGTTTTTGCACAAAAAAAATTCTTAAATACTTGTTTCTGCGGAAATAACTCAAAAATGTTATTAGTAAGCATTTAATAATAAGCATTTTACTAATTTTGTGCATATTCACTTCCTGTTTGGTTATGTGCTGAACAATTCAATAATTCCAACCAGAGATTTTTTTAACTATGGCGATCATTTTTTTTAATTATTTATGTTAAAGTAAGTCAATTTTTGAAATAATTTCTTAGTTGTTTAAGTGCATTCAAATAATCTTCTTACAAGCCCGGCCAATTATTTTAGATCTTAAAACCTCGTTATTAATTCCTATTAGGATATTTCATATTTCCACTCTCTTTTTTAACAAAAATATTTTTTAATAATTTCTTTATTAATATTATATTTGAATTATTTGCATCTTTAAAATGGGTAAGTTAAAATAAAATTGAATTAAATTTTAATAATACAGAAAAAAAATTTCAAATTTTAGCTATTTTTGTTTCAGAAGACCTAATCTTTCAATGTCTTTCTTAATATATCGTCCAACAATTGTTTGGGGTCTTAATTCAAATTGATTTTTATCTTCTTTAGTTGTCGTAACTTGATCACCTTCCAACCGATCTATAATTGTAACACAAACATCGGCTGCTCTTATTCCAGTGCTATGTGTTAATGCACCAAAAACAGTTGATTCCATTTCAATATTACGAACCCCAATATTATAAGCACGTTTTAAAAATTTAAATTTTTGTTCTTCATTATGCCAACATACAGCACCATCTGTACGTCCTTGACCTTCATAAAAATCATCAGTTGCCATAGTTTTTCCAGCTATAACTTCAAAATTATCATGTTTATCTGAACATGCAATTAAACTTTGCGATAAATTGTAATCAAGAATAGCTGGTCTTATAACACGTTCACCTAATATTATAAATTCATGTTCATTTTTAAGAAAACCATTAACTGGATTACTTGTAACAACAACTGTTCCCGGAGGTACACCAATACCACCAGATGTACCAATTCGAATAAAAACTGGATCAATACATTTAGCATAATGCATTAGTTTTGCCATTTCATGTAATAAAATACTTAATGAAGGCATTCCCATGCCATGTGAAACAGATAAAACTGGTCCAACTTTATACATTGCAAATCTATTACCTTTTTCACATAAATCTAATAATTGAGTTCCAACTGGGAAATTAAATTGTAATTCTTTTGTAATAAATTCAGCAAAATTTTTCATTCGATTTGTTGTACCACCCATGCAAACATACTAAATATGTTAAAAATTAAAAATTAAAGTTTGTGTTATGAAAATGAGCATAATAATACCTTAACATCTCCAAACATAGTTTTTAGATCATGAGTAGCCGTTCCAAGTGCTAAATGATAAAGTACATCTTCTTTCAATAATTTCAGATTTTCGTTATTTAAATGAACAGTTCCTTCATCTTTGTTTTGATTACCATTGCTGCTACTGTACATGAATTCAATTCAATTAAAAGTACTAGAAGAAATAAATTTAATAATTCAAAAATTTTGCACTCACTGGTTGCTGTTTTTTTCAAAATTGAATGACATTTTTCTTTCTGATGCTCTTTAATTGCAGTTTCAGCTAAAAATAAAAATAAAATTCTAATGTTAACTTCTATTTAAGCTTTTTATTGTTAGAGGGTTCACGTTATCTTAATTTCAATACACATACTGATTAAATTTATCACTTTCAAATGCATTTTTTAACGAGCTTTTATTGAAATATAAAATTTAATTTTGATTATTGCCTGCACTTTTCTAAAAATTTTATTTCGGGATATCCCCCTCCTTTCGAATAAAAAAAAATTTTTTGTCGAACAAATGTGTGAAAAATGCATTTTTCTCATGTTTGTAAATACATTTAACACGTTTTATTGGAAAAACTATGGTAGCGCATCAAAAAAAAAATCAAAAAAATTTTCGAGAAATTTTGAGTTTTGTAAAAAAAATAAAAAAAAAAATAACAAAAATTCTGACTTTGACAAGCTGTATCTCGAAAATACCACCCTCATCCACCCATAAAATTTTTTGCCAGAAGTTGAATAAAGAATCATCCCTGAAGATTAACCTTACCGAAGCACCCCGCGTATTATTTACCATATAAACTCATACCACTACAAACATTCTTACTGAAAGTAATGGGAACACTTGTTTATGCAAAATTTTAGCACTGTAATTTGAACTAGTTTTAAATAAATATTTGCTTGTGCAAAATTTCAATATGTAGTTTCCGAAAATTTCTATAATAATGCTAAATAACTATTGAAGTTGTTTTTGGACAAGGAGTCAGTCAATTTCAACGTTTTTTTATCATACAACAGCCCCAATTATACATTTGACTGCGCGAAATTTTGATATTATAGCATCTATAAGTTCTGAGATACAGCCAAAAAACTTTTGAAATTGTATGGAAGGTGCTCAAACCACTCCCTCTATCATATCAATTTAAATAAGGTTCTCGCACTTGCTCAATCAGTTTTTGAGTTATTGTTGGGACGGACAGATAGACGGACAGAAATAATTAAGTCGGCTCAGAAATCGGCATTGATCAAAAACATACACTTATGTCTATATCTCAGCCCAGTATTAGTTAGCGTTACAAACAGTAAGGTAAATCTATAATTCTCTTTGAATAAACGTTCGTACAAGTATAAAAAAATACCTTTTTCAAATAGATTAGGTTTTTATCTACTAACAGCTAAGTATACATAAATTTGTTCCTTTTAATAAAATGTACGATACGTCATCATTAGCTCAAAATAATAAGTTTAAAAATCTTAGGTAAGTATACAAAATGAAATTATTAATAAACAAATAAAAACTAATTTGAGCTCTTTACATTATTGTTTCAGCTTTGAAACGCGGAAAATAAAAACAAACTCTTGTTTAGCACACTTTTAAAAATCTTTATTTAATCTTCTTGCCAGTGATTATACATTATGTATGTACGTATGTATGTACTTATATAAATCGGCTTATAAAATTATCATTAATTGAATATGTGCGATTTTCAGTTTGTGTTCCCTTCTTTCGTTCATTAACGCTTTCGAATAAATTTCTTATAGCGCACTTATTTTGGCACTGATAACACAATAACAGAGATGATGATGTATACAGAGTTCTGTTATACATTCATATATGTATAACAAGTAAATATAGAATTCATATTTTTACATTCAATTTTTAATTGATAAGAATAGAATTATGTAATCTGAATTATTAGAGAATTGTATTAAATAATAAAAGGCTGGGTGGATCTAGTATAAAAATATTGTGGAACTCAAGTGTGAAAGTATTTAGTTAAATATGGGGATTTTCGATTATTAATTGTTAACATAAAGCACGTTCGATAAATCCTATAAAACTGTAAAATCTGCCAAAATAGCGTGTTCGATAAATTTCTGCTATACAAAAGACTTGTTGGGAAATGACAGTTCAAGTTTTACTCATTCAAAGGGACCAGTATCAGACCTCAGAATAGATATCGGAACTTTAATAAATCAAAATTTTATCAAATAGCAAACAAAGTAAATTTGTTATAAATCTTTTTCAAATATTTAAAATGTAATTATAAAAGTAGAGTGTGTACATATAAAGTACTTGCAAAATTTATATTTCCTACCTTGATTGCAAAAAAAACGTGTGCTTTAAAGGTAAACAATATGAGTAATCAAAAACTTTATTTCACTTGTATGTGAATGTTTGTATATATATTGATCTCCTAGCATTTTCAAATCAAATATGCAATTCGCTTGATTGGCTGTTTCAATCTTGAAATATACACATAATAATGTAAGTCTAAGCCCATACATATTTTTGTGCTATAAAAATTCTGTAATACCATTCAATGCAGAAGAACGAAGTTGTTTCAAGCAAAATGTGTGATCCTTAAATGGTATTATTAACCTTTAAACAAATTCCATTAATTTTTCTATTAACGATAACACAGAAAAAAAAAAATAAATTAAAATGTAAATATGTATATTGTTTGTATGTGTGTATATGAACAAACAGTATGGTAAGCTATGCAAATATGAAATGCGATAAGGTTTAAATTATAGTAATAACTCCAAATAAAGTTCTTAAGTTTCGCAACATAAAAAAATGTTTAATAAAATAAAATGCATTTGTGCAAATTAAAGAATTTATTTTTTCAAAGAAATTAATGTTTGCATTTCTCAAACTCATAAATTTCCTCATATACAAATGCAATATGTATACCTTTATTTCACGTTTATTTTCAAAAACACTATTAAGTATAACAGTATAACATTTTCTCTTCTTTGAATATAAAAATTTCATTAATATACTTTTAGAGTTTTTGAACTTGAAAATTAATACTTTATCATAAATATTTTAATTTTGTTTGCTAAGGGCCTTTTTAGATAATTCAGATGGCTAAAAGTGAATCTCTAATAAAAATTTGCATTATAATTTACATTTTTCTAGGGACAAATTGCTTATTTGATGGAAAACTGACATAACTCAAAATTTGCACATTTGAGAAAAGCGAATTTTAAAGTTTTTGGGCAAAGATTTTTCTGGCATAATGTATGGTAAGCGACAACTTTCAAACTAGAGAAATTGTGTTTTTGCACAAAAAAAATTCTTAAATACTTGTTTCTGCGGAAATAACTCAAAAATGTTATTAGTAAGCATTTAATAATAAGCATTTTACTAATTTTGTGCATATTCACTTCCTGTTTGGTTATGTGCTGAACAATTCAATAATTCCAACCAGAGATTTTTTTAACTATGGCGATCATTTTTTTTAATTATTTATGTTAAAGTAAGTCAATTTTTGAAATAATTTCTTAGTTGTTTAAGTGCATTCAAATAATCTTCTTACAAGCCCGGCCAATTATTTTAGATCTTAAAACCTCGTTATTAATTCCTATTAGGATATTTCATATTTCCACTCTCTTTTTTAACAAAAATATTTTTTAATAATTTCTTTATTAATATTATATTTGAATTATTTGCATCTTTAAAATGGGTAAGTTAAAATAAAATTGAATTAAATTTTAATAATACAGAAAAAAAATTTCAAATTTTAGCTATTTTTGTTTCAGAAGACCTAATCTTTCAATGTCTTTCTTAATATATCGTCCAACAATTGTTTGGGGTCTTAATTCAAATTGATTTTTATCTTCTTTAGTTGTCGTAACTTGATCACCTTCCAACCGATCTATAATTGTAACACAAACATCGGCTGCTCTTATTCCAGTGCTATGTGTTAATGCACCAAAAACAGTTGATTCCATTTCAATATTACGAACCCCAATATTATAAGCACGTTTTAAAAATTTAAATTTTTGTTCTTCATTATGCCAACATACAGCACCATCTGTACGTCCTTGACCTTCATAAAAATCATCAGTTGCCATAGTTTTTCCAGCTATAACTTCAAAATTATCATGTTTATCTGAACATGCAATTAAACTTTGCGATAAATTGTAATCAAGAATAGCTGGTCTTATAACACGTTCACCTAATATTATAAATTCATGTTCATTTTTAAGAAAACCATTAACTGGATTACTTGTAACAACAACTGTTCCCGGAGGTACACCAATACCACCAGATGTACCAATTCGAATAAAAACTGGATCAATACATTTAGCATAATGCATTAGTTTTGCCATTTCATGTAATAAAATACTTAATGAAGGCATTCCCATGCCATGTGAAACAGATAAAACTGGTCCAACTTTATACATTGCAAATCTATTACCTTTTTCACATAAATCTAATAATTGAGTTCCAACTGGGAAATTAAATTGTAATTCTTTTGTAATAAATTCAGCAAAATTTTTCATTCGATTTGTTGTACCACCCATGCAAACATACTAAATATGTTAAAAATTAAAAATTAAAGTTTGTGTTATGAAAATGAGCATAATAATACCTTAACATCTCCAAACATAGTTTTTAGATCATGAGTAGCCGTTCCAAGTGCTAAATGATAAAGTACATCTTCTTTCAATAATTTCAGATTTTCGTTATTTAAATGAACAGTTCCTTCATCTTTGTTTTGATTACCATTGCTGCTACTGTACATGAATTCAATTCAATTAAAAGTACTAGAAGAAATAAATTTAATAATTCAAAAATTTTGCACTCACTGGTTGCTGTTTTTTTCAAAATTGAATGACATTTTTCTTTCTGATGCTCTTTAATTGCAGTTTCAGCTAAAAATAAAAATAAAATTCTAATGTTAACTTCTATTTAAGCTTTTTATTGTTAGAGGGTTCACGTTATCTTAATTTCAATACACATACTGATTAAATTTATCACTTTCAAATGCATTTTTTAACGAGCTTTTATTGAAATATAAAATTTAATTTTGATTATTGCCTGCACTTTTCTAAAAATTTTATTTCGGGATATCCCCCTCCTTTCGAATAAAAAAAAATTTTTTGTCGAACAAATGTGTGAAAAATGCATTTTTCTCATGTTTGTAAATACATTTAACACGTTTTATTGGAAAAACTATGGTAGCGCATCAAAAAAAAAATCAAAAAAATTTTCGAGAAATTTTGAGTTTTGTAAAAAAAATAAAAAAAAAAATAACAAAAATTCTGACTTTGACAAGCTGTATCTCGAAAATACCACCCTCATCCACCCATAAAATTTTTTGCCAGAAGTTGAATAAAGAATCATCCCTGAAGATTAACCTTACCGAAGCACCCCGCGTATTATTTACCATATAAACTCATACCACTACAAACATTCTTACTGAAAGTAATGGGAACACTTGTTTATGCAAAATTTTAGCACTGTAATTTGAACTAGTTTTAAATAAATATTTGCTTGTGCAAAATTTCAATATGTAGTTTCCGAAAATTTCTATAATAATGCTAAATAACTATTGAAGTTGTTTTTGGACAAGGAGTCAGTCAATTTCAACGTTTTTTTATCATACAACAGCCCCAATTATACATTTGACTGCGCGAAATTTTGATATTATAGCATCTATAAGTTCTGAGATACAGCCAAAAAACTTTTGAAATTGTATGGAAGGTGCTCAAACCACTCCCTCTATCATATCAATTTAAATAAGGTTCTCGCACTTGCTCAATCAGTTTTTGAGTTATTGTTGGGACGGACAGATAGACGGACAGAAATAATTAAGTCGGCTCAGAAATCGGCATTGATCAAAAACATACACTTATGTCTATATCTCAGCCCAGTATTAGTTAGCGTTACAAACAGTAAGGTAAATCTATAATTCTCTTTGAATAAACGTTCGTACAAGTATAAAAAAATACCTTTTTCAAATAGATTAGGTTTTTATCTACTAACAGCTAAGTATACATAAATTTGTTCCTTTTAATAAAATGTACGATACGTCATCATTAGCTCAAAATAATAAGTTTAAAAATCTTAGGTAAGTATACAAAATGAAATTATTAATAAACAAATAAAAACTAATTTGAGCTCTTTACATTATTGTTTCAGCTTTGAAACGCGGAAAATAAAAACAAACTCTTGTTTAGCACACTTTTAAAAATCTTTATTTAATCTTCTTGCCAGTGATTATACATTATGTATGTACGTATGTATGTACTTATATAAATCGGCTTATAAAATTATCATTAATTGAATATGTGCGATTTTCAGTTTGTGTTCCCTTCTTTCGTTCATTAACGCTTTCGAATAAATTTCTTATAGCGCACTTATTTTGGCACTGATAACACAATAACAGAGATGATGATGTATACAGAGTTCTGTTATACATTCATATATGTATAACAAGTAAATATAGAATTCATATTTTTACATTCAATTTTTAATTGATAAGAATAGAATTATGTAATCTGAATTATTAGAGAATTGTATTAAATAATAAAAGGCTGGGTGGATCTAGTATAAAAATATTGTGGAACTCAAGTGTGAAAGTATTTAGTTAAATATGGGGATTTTCGATTATTAATTGTTAACATAAAGCACGTTCGATAAATCCTATAAAACTGTAAAATCTGCCAAAATAGCGTGTTCGATAAATTTCTGCTATACAAAAGACTTGTTGGGAAATGACAGTTCAAGTTTTACTCATTCAAAGGGACCAGTATCAGACCTCAGAATAGATATCGGAACTTTAATAAATCAAAATTTTATCAAATAGCAAACAAAGTAAATTTGTTATAAATCTTTTTCAAATATTTAAAATGTAATTATAAAAGTAGAGTGTGTACATATAAAGTACTTGCAAAATTTATATTTCCTACCTTGATTGCAAAAAAAACGTGTGCTTTAAAGGTAAACAATATGAGTAATCAAAAACTTTATTTCACTTGTATGTGAATGTTTGTATATATATTGATCTCCTAGCATTTTCAAATCAAATATGCAATTCGCTTGATTGGCTGTTTCAATCTTGAAATATACACATAATAATGTAAGTCTAAGCCCATACATATTTTTGTGCTATAAAAATTCTGTAATACCATTCAATTCAGAAGAACGAAGTTGTTTCAAGCAAAATGTGTGATCCTTAAATGGTATGATTAACCTTTAAACAAATTCCATTAATTTTTCTATTAACGATAACACAGAAAAAAAAAAATAAATTAAAATGTAAATATGTATATTGTTTGTATGTGTGTATATGAACAAACAGTATGGTAAGCTATGCAAATATGAAATGCGATAAGGTTTAAATTATAGTAATAACTCCAAATAAAGTTCTTAAGTTTCGCAACATAAAAAAATGTTTAATAAAATAAAATGCATTTGTGCAAATTAAAGAATTTATTTTTTCAAAGAAATTAATGTTTGCATTTCTCAAACTCATAAATTTCCTCATATACAAATGCAATATGTATACCTTTATTTCACGTTTATTTTCAAAAACACTATTAAGTATAACAGTATAACATTTTCTCTTCTTTGAATATAAAAATTTCATTAATATACTTTTAGAGTTTTTGAACTTGAAAATTAATACTTTATCATAAATGTTTGCAATATTAAAAGAATCTGTTGCGTTCAGCAGATAAGCGACCGCAATGTATATTGTCGAACTTAGCGAAATTGTTACAGAAAATTATGAAAATGAAATTTAAATATTTCTTTCCAATTTTAAGGACGTTAGTAAGATTTTAAGCTAAGATACCTAGAAAAGTGTAAATTTGGATATTAATAGATTTTCGTTTTTCGCCATTTTAATTCTCTGAGAAGTTCGCCAATTACTTTCGCTAATGATCAGAACTCAAATAATAAATTTCAAAAAATTCCATCAATTTGTTACATAGATAATGTAAAATCGGTCCCTAGTTCGGTTTCCGAGCCCTGATTTTTCCAAAAAAAAAAAAAAAAATTATAGTTTTATTGTTTTAACATGTCGAATTGAAATATTAAATTTCAATGAAGATGATTGATTGTTTTTTTTTTGGTATATGCAAGAATGTAAAATTTGCCCGGGAAAAAGTCCAGTTCCTATGGCCATCAATCCTTGCCATAACCGAAATAAATTTACATATATTAAAATTTCATCGGCTGAACTTAAGAGATACACTCGTGTAAACAAAGTTCGACATCTCGCTAAAAATAGTTTATTTATGCTTCCCTTCCACGAAGAAGTGCGTTCCCACCGAAAACTCGTCATACGAAATTTGGTGCCATCACATGACCTCCCTTATTGTATAGAATGCGGTCGGTAAAAAAGCAAATAAACAAATTTTTGCGAATTAACAGGGCAAAATGTTGTTTTGATTTTACATAAGAATTTTTTCTATACTCTTGTTAGTTATTTCTGTAGGCAGAGTTAGATGAAAAAATGCATACCATACCAAATTTTGTACAAACACAAATATTTATTAATTACAATAATATTAACAATTAATATTTAAATAGTTAAAACTATTTTTTATTAAAGAAAGATAACATTGCAAATATTTTCTCAAATGAATTATAACAAGATCCACATATATACATACATACATAGAAAGTTTTAAATTTATTCAAATTAAGCACAGTACTTTATAATTTTTAATTACACTTTTACTTACAAGTGTGTATGTATAAATATTTTGTTGATTAGAACTTGTGTTTTGAATTAATTAAAAAAAAAAAAAACGATTTGCCTTATTTACACAATATTTTAAAATAGACTTGACTATTGAGCGCGATCTTATTAACTAAACTAAATCGAAATTTTCTTGATAGTTTTCATTACCAAAACAAAGTTTCCTATTCATTCTTTTTAGGATAGTAGAAGTAAACAAACGTAAATTTAAGAGATTTTTCTATACAGTTCTCTTTTTACTATATTTTTCTCTTTAATTTTAACATTTGAATTTACTCATTGAATTAAGTAAAACTTACTCTTAACATTTTATTCATGTTCTTTCATATTTGTGTTCGCTTTTGAAAATGAAAATACTAGGAAGCAGAGGTCTTAACTCTATGCTAAAGAAATTATAGATCTACTTTTTTGCTGTTTTAATAAAAGAAAATTTTTTAGTTTCTTTCACCGCATATTTCTCGATTTTTTTTTTAAAGAGCATAGAACAGTTTCGGTGAAGTTGGTGTCATTGAACAGTGTGCAATGAATAATTGATTTTGATTTCTACGATATTTAAATCTAGACTAGATATTTTAAGACTTTTGTCTTTGACACGCGATTCATTATTATGGAAAAATCGACGCCTTATCAATGATTAATATTTATTTAACAATTATTAAATATTCGTTTAGAATAGCTTGGTGAGAAATTAATTTCAGCTTTTTTTCATAGAATGTGACATTATTCTTGATCATGTTTTTTTTGAAAATTTGTTTAATTTATTGACTATATGCGACATCTATATTGAAGTTATGAAAAACATAATTCTGAATTTTAAATAATTGATAAAAATACACATACATGGACACATAATGCATGTATATTTAATGTTGTGTTACCTAGCATTACGAATATTTTATATATGAAATTTGTTTGATCAATATTATTTTAGTGTCGCAGCAAATTACGTCAAAAAAGATTGTTCAAAAATAAATTTTTTCAAAAACTTTTTGATAATTATTACTGTTAACAAAGAAATTTAAAATTTTTTAAAAACGGAAGCAAAAATGAATAAACCAAAGCGTAAACTAATGCAGAGATATGAAATTCCTGTTAATCACTTAGAATTCAATTACATAAAAAAATGCAATAATGCCCGTGAAATGGAAAAAATTTTACGAATTTTATATTCAGGCGAGGAAGGATACTACAAAGAATTGACTCAATGCGCTGAAGAGAGATTAAAAATTTTAAATCCGAACAGTAAATTATTTCGTTATGAAACTGCAATTCTTAGAAAACAATTTCTTGATCAAGAAGATTGGGAAAAAGATGGTGAACCAGTTGTCGTAAGTGTACTATTTTCTTTTTAAATAAAATATGTACTGCAATACATACATATGTATATATGCATTCTATTAATTCGAAAACATTTGTAGGAATGGTCAGATGAAGTTAAAGTCAAAGATAATTTTTTATCTGTTATTGCTAATGAGAAAAGTCCTCAACTTAATATACCAGATATAAGAGGCAAAAATGAAATGATTTCATATACAAAGGGAAAAAATAAAAAAAAAAAACCAATTAGAAATGATGATAAAAAAAATACAATCGATAATGAAAAAAGAATCAAATCGACAGATTATCGAGCATGGGATAAATATGATGCAGATACAGAATGTTTGAAAATGGAATTGGACGAAGAAAGAATACAAGAGGAAAATGAAAGAAATAAATTAAAGGAAAAAAAAGAAAAAATACATGAAATCATAAAACCGATAAGTGAAAATGATGAAGAAATACTTGAGAAGTTGACAAATGTGGAAAAAGAAGCACTTGCCATTAAGTATGATTTTTGTATTTTGTTGTTCTTTCTAATATGCATGATTGTTTTCTCATTAAATCTATGTAAATATGTAATTTAAATTTTAGGCATAAAGATTGTGGAAATGATTATTTTCGGATCAAAGAATATCAAAATGCAATTATTGAATACACAAAATGTATTGAAATTTATCCAACAGCAGTGGCTTATAATAATCGGGCAATAAGTTGTAAGTTAACATTTTAATTAAAATTAAGGTCTTGATTTTACACCGATTAGTACAGATAGTTATGTTATGACTATAGTGTTACCAGAAATATGTTTCCATGTTATCCTATGTTTCTTTTCCTACAATACACTCGAAAATCATTTGATGTCATACTTGTGATTTAATTATTATCCTTACTTTTTTCTCGTTGACTAGACATGAAAATGTTTCTATATCGAAAAGCTTTAGATGATATTGAAAAATGCTTAGAAATGGATCCAAAAAATATTAAAGCACTATTACGCAAAGCCCAAACATTTATAGCTATGGAGCGAAACAAAGATGTAAGATATTTTTTCTACTATAGTTTAATAATTATCACATACATATATACATATTTTAGGCACATGAAATCTATACAAAGATTATATCAATTGAACCATCAAATATTGCTGCTCGTAATGGTTTAAATGAAATAAAAAATTTAATTCCATATTCTCCACCACCCCAAGCAACACGAATATCAATTGAAGAAGATGAAGAAAGAAAAAAAATTGATGATTCTCAGGTTGAATTGAATAATAAAATAGACAAGAATTCAACAGTAAATAATCAAAATGATGATGCTTCTGTTATAGAATCGAAGAAAAATATTTCTGAATTCATTACGGCTATAACAAGTAATGAAAATAAGAGTAATAAAAATTTAACAGTCCATGAACCGATGGGCATGGAAAAACTTGAAAAAAATTCAAATGAAAAATCAGAAGAAAATTTGGACGTACCCATTAAAAAAACTCAAATATTTGAAAATGTTGAAATATTAAAATCAAAATATCAGATCCAGAATTTTAGTAATATCACCCAACATGAAGATGTTGTTAATGAACAAAATTTAAATTTGCACAAAAGTAAAAATATCAAAAATTGTCTAAAAGAGAATGAAAAACCTAAACAAAATGCTGAAGGAATTTCACCAACATCAGAATGCAAAGAAAAAACTGCATCTAATCAAAATAATTCAAAAGAAACTGTAAAAATACCTAAAACTCCTCCGTCATGTGGTAAAAATAAAAAATTACATAAGAAACCTAAACCTGTAAAACAATGTGATGATGAAAATTATGTCCAAGAAGATTTATCAAAATTAATTATACCGAAAAAAATTATTAAAAATAAATTTGCAAAAACTATGGAAGCATTCAAGAACAATAATATTAGCTTACCAATGATACCAAATATGAATGGATCACGAAATAATACGGAAGGTAATCAAAAATCATTGGGACGATCATCTCAAAATTTTACTTCGGAACCTAAAATTAACATTAAATTATTGCCAGATAAATCAAAGAATGAAGTTTTCATTAGAGAAATTAAATGAATTGCGATAGACTGAAGGGGATTAAATAAATGTCTGGTTCTACGACTTACAAACTTGAAAGTTTACTTTATTTTCAAATGAATTTTAATAGATCTAGAATAGTTCTAGTATAGTTTAATGCTATAATTAAAGTAGTTGACAAAAATTCAATACATTATTTCATTTTCTCTGTTATCCATGGTATGATATTAACAATACAAAATTTCGATAGGTCCTCTTTTTATGTTGTATAAATTTCAGTTCCTTACGCGCATTATTTTGCGAAATCGAAGTCGAGGTGGCCAGAAATGGCTTAGTGGTGTTTTCGAATGTTAATTTTATAATAACTGATATTATAGTGATGAAATACAAATTAACATTTTGGTATTCAGCAATTTTAAGACTATTAGCCATTTTATGGCAAGCGGAAAACGATTTGCTGTGCAAAAACTCTAATTTTATTGAAAAATCTTATTATTTAAAGCCAAAAACTAATTTAAGAATAACAATTAAATTATATGGCGTTAAATTAATAAACAGGCTTGTTTTTACAAATTTGCAAACTTTCAAAACGGTTCCTTCTAAAATTTTAGTTTTGCTACTAAATGTGTTTTTGGGCGTGATTACAGTACCTTTTCTTCTTCTTAAATTTTAATAGTATTAATTTTTTCCGTTGATATTATTCTACTTAATATAAGAACGTCCATTTGCAATTCAAGTATTTCAATATGTTATATCACAATAACTTACTTTTCTAGAACCTCGTGAATCTTTTTGTAAAATTAATAAATAAGTAAAATAATAGTACGGAATAAATAAGTACGAAGTAAATAAATTTCAATAATTCAGTTCTAACTTTTAGATTTTAATCTGTATAAAATCTGTAAAAATAGCAATAGTTCGAAAATTATAGTTGTGCTTCTAAGTTCTAAAAGAATTTATTAGTTTTAATTTTTTTATAGCTACTGCCAAAATACCATAAATTAATAATGAAGAATTACTAACTTAAGCTTGTTACAAATCTGTAATTAAAATAGAACTTTCAGTGTGGGTTTGTTCGGAAGCATCAAATAAAAATTGTATGATTTTGTCAAAATCGAAAAAAAAAAATTAAATTTCAATGTATTCATTTTTTTTAAACACATTTTATTATTTTACATTTAAAAACTTAAAATTCTTGATGCATTGTACAAATTATTTGATTCCATTGCTTAATTTCATAAGAAAATTTTTTGTTTCAATTTATTTCAATTAAAAAACATATCAAAAGTATCGAAAAAATTTTGCATGCACAATTTGAAATAAAATTTGGATACAGAATATTTCAGTCTACATGAAATAACACGATTTCAGACACAATGTGTCTAATGCGTCGTAGATGCAATTCCGAAGACACCCTTGTATGTCTGGATTATCGAAAATCCTCTAAATAGAAATTGTAATTTTAATATTAATAAAATAAAAATACCGTTAATTTTACATTTTTATTATACTTATATAATTTATTTATTTTTATTTACTTCATAAAATCTATAAGCGTGATATATTTTTACAATTTTTATTTTTATATTATATGTATGTATGTATAATAGTATGGGGCTTAATTAAAAATTAAAAAAAAAATAATTAATAATTTGATTTTTAATTCCTATTTTTTTGCATTTTAATTATAAAATATAGAAAATAAGGGAAATTTGAGAGAAATTTTAATTTAAATTAAAAAAATAGGTGAAATACGAATTTATTAAATTCAATTTCCCGACAATTTACCATTAATTTCAATTAATAATTTTTATTTAATTCAAAAATCACTTTTTTAATTAAAATATTTGGAATTTTTATTTGCAAAATGAAAGTGTTTATTTGAAGTTTTTATTGTTATACATGCTTTCTTTTCTGTTTTTTCTTTTTTTTCTATTTCAATAATATTTTTATACAAAAATTTAGCTACACATTTATTTATTGTACTAAAGTTTACACAAATATATTTATTTTTTTTTAATATTATTGTATATACATAAACATATTTAATATACCGAGGGGGACTTATGGGCGGGGCAAAACCCTCGTCTATAGCTCATATTTTAAAAATTTTGAAATAATTTGGAAAAAACCACAAAATTTACTATTAACAAATATTTTTTGCAGCTATGCAGATTGTAAGTCAAAAGAAGGATATATTTTATGTTCCGAAATATGGCAGTATTTTAATTATGAATAATATGAATTTTGTATATTAACTTCAAAATATTTTAAAACCATCTTGTGCTGGATAAAGGGTTAAGCCATCCCGTAAGACGGTGATATATTTATTTGAAAAGAAAAAAGTAAATTTGGGAGATGGTGGAAGAAGCTTTATAGAATTTTTTTTAATTCGTAGATTTTATGTGCTTAATTTCGTAGATTTTATGTGTTTATATTTAGTGAAAACGGAAATTCAATAATAAATGAAAGATATTAAAGATACAATTTTAATGTTAAAAATTAACTTTACAATAAATAATATTAAAAGACCTGTTTTATCGACTAGTACATATATTAAAAATGCGTGCAACTATGACGTTTGTCATGAATTTTAAAGCGACATAACGTATGTCTCATAAATTTTAATATAATTAAGTCGTAAACGCAATTGGTTATTATTTTAGTTTTTTTTTCCATTTCTTTAAAATTTGATGTTTCTGTTCGACAAAATGAATGACGAAGACAACATTTTAGTTTTGAAATTTGAAATTTTTCATTTTATTTGAAGAAAATTTTTTTAAAAATAATATGTGAATTGCAAAAATTGCTTAATTACAGATGCTTTTTTTTTTACAAAATCAAATAAATTACGTGATTAATACTATGGCCAATTCTCGGACATATTGGGAAATGGAAACAGCCATTTTTAGGACAAATTAAATAACAAATTGTATAACAAAATTTCAAAATTTTGTATAATAAATTTTTAAATATTTTTTTATGGTATATTTTTTGTTTTTTATATAATACAATTAATATTATTTGTGCTTCGTTTTTTGAAATTTATTCAAATATTTTATTTTTTTGTGTTTTTGTTATATTTTATGTATGCATGTATGTATATATAAAAAATTTTTCTTATTGTGCAATTTTGTTTTTCAAATATTTTATTAAATTATTTATTTTTGCTTTATTTTTGTATAATATTTAAGTATATGTATGTATATATATATAAATGTGTATAAATGTATTTACATATTAATATGTATACATAGAATATTTAGGCTGGTGTATAAAAAAATTATAAAAATTAGCGCAATTTTAATGGCATTGAATAAATTAAAATTTTTTGAATAATTTCATTTGCGTTTTTATCTTTGTTTTGTTTTTTTTATGTTTTTTATTAATTTCATTTGGTCTTATTTTTTATAATGTTTTAATTTTAAACTTTGAAAGACGTGATTATTATTTTTCTGTTGTTGTTGCTTTCATTTGTGGCAATTGAATTTTCATTAAGGCATTATTTTCTAGCTTTATAATTAAAAAGTAAAAAACAAATTAAAAAATATTTTAGGTTTACTTTTCTTTTGTGAGAAAAGGAAAGGGTTAATTTTTAAAATAATTTTTTTTTTTTTCAATATTTACTTATTCAGAATTTTTAATTTAATGGGGTTTTCGCTTAATTAGTTCTAGAATAGTTCTAGCTTGTAGTACATTCGAAAATTCACGCTATACATACACTGAAAATATAGATTGTTCGGAAATTACTGGCTGCAATAAAGTGCGTTCGGAAATTCAATCAGCAAATAAAGAAATGTTAGAAATGAAGCGCAGATCACTAGTATAAATTTTAAAATGGCAGATTCAGATATTGAACGTTTATTAAAATAAGTTTTCTTAAGTCTTAAAATCTTGTTAAAATTTCCTTATTTTGCAGGTGAATAATATTAGAAGGCGAAAAATATTGGGATACGATTTCATAAACAATGTCATTTCTATTATTTTCGAACGACTGATTATTTAGAAGCTCCAGAATTTTGCGACTTAGAAGTTTTAGTTCTAGTATAGAATTTTTAGAGTAGCATAAATAAACGAAAAACCCCTATTTAAAATACAGAATGCATATTGTAGTTCCTTGTAAACTTTTCATTTCGGTAAATTATTATAAGAAATTTAAGATAATAATTTCTTTAATATTTTAATTAATTTGTGGTTGAATGCGAATATATAATTTGTGTCTATACCTATAATAAGATTAAAATTAATTGTTTGCTATTTATAAAGGTAAAAAAGTTATTTAAAATACATGAATAGGGACGACGACAAGGAACGACACAATAAAAAAATATTCTATAAATTTTGTATTATAAATTTTTTATGGTTAAAGGTTGTTTTCCGTTTGCTTTACAAAAATTTTAAAAAATTAATTAATTGGGTTGAGTTTTATTTTGTTTTTCGCTTTCTAATAATAATTTATAATATTATATATTTTAATATAGTAAAAATAACTAGTTGGTAAGTCTATTAGAATTTTTTTTTTCTTCAATATTATAAAATAAAATATATAATTCGTTTTTCAATTTTTGTTAAATTTAAATAATATTTAATAAAAAAATTAAAATAAAATTATTATTCTAAATTATTTTAAATATTATAAAAGTATAGGTATTATTTTTTATATTTAAATATAGTTTACGATTAATACTTCGTTTCTGTGTTATTTTTTTTTTAATTTCTTTTTCAAAATAGTATTTTTTTTTTTTAAATTTTTTTTATTTTCCATTTTAAAAATAGTTGTTTTCTTTATGCTTTCTTTTCTTTATTATTTTTTTCTTCTTCTTATATGCATAATAATATTAAATTTACTTTTATTCTCTTAATAATCTATATATATATATATATATAGGTATATAAACTTATTATCAGTAATATTTTAAATTTTTAAAATAAATGCTATAATTATTTCTATATATATATAGGACAAGTTATACATATACATGGATAAATTATTAAAAATTATAAAGGTTAAAAATGTTGTTTTTTTTTCTTAACAAAACATCGAATTAAAACATACAATTTATGTGCATTTATATAATTAATTTTAGTTATATAAAAGTAATTTTAAAAATCAAAATTATTATTTATATTTTATTAAAAAAATTATAAAAAGAGCATTTAGGAAAATAATGTATTATTAATAAAATTGATTAAGACTTTTCAAGATGGCAGCTTTTTGACGGCAATTTAAAAAATTTAAAAATTTTCATTAAAATAAAATAAAATAAAATAGTAATAATAGAGAAATTCATTAAAATGGTTCATAAGGAAACCATGATTAAAATATAAATTTAAAGAACAAATAATTATTATAATAAAATCATTTATTTGGATACAGGATGAAAATATTATATTCAAAATAAGTATATATGGACAGACAACAAGTCTCAGGTATTTTTCATTTTTATTGTAAATAATGTACATAATTTTATTATGAATATAATTTTGTATGCTAATTCAAATATGCTATCATAAAATTTATATATACGCTCAATTCTATATTTGAAGATCAAATTAAATAATTAAATACATTCAAAATTTCGTACAATTATTTGCGATAAATTTTCAAATTTTCTTGTAATTGTTTTTAATATGAAATAAATATGAAATTGTAATTGGTTTAATATTAATTTTCTTATATTATCGTGTACAACCGAATTCTTATTTAAAAAGTTTATTCGGATATTTTAAATAAATTTTGAACATAGTGGCGTATATAACAGTTTTTAATATATTATTGTTGTTTTTTTCTTTTTGTTTCAAAAAGCACACGAATTATTCATTTTAATATTTTTTTTTTAATTTTTTGTTTTACTTACATATATAAAACATTTATTTTAATATTGTATAAATATTAATTAGGTATATTACATATATATTATAATTTGTATAATTATTTCTTAATTTAATTATAACTAACTGGTATATTATATAAAGAACTTAGTATATATATACGTATAATTAATTATGAAACACATAAATTTATTAATTAATTATTTTAATTTTAATTTTTTTCTTGTGTTTTTTTTTGGGTTTTACTTACTTAATAATTAAAGACAAAAAAAAAACTTACGGCAAATCTTACAGAAGGCGATTTTTAATTACAATTATACATAATTAATGTACAATATTTATGTATATAATATGTATGTATTTTATTTAGTACATAAATTGAATAAAATTTTCTTAATATAGCTATGCGATAAAAATTATTTTTTTTTTTCAACTTATTTTTATTTATACATAATTTAAATTATTTATCATTCAATAATTTGTTTTAATTATTTATTATGTAAAATATACACAATGTATTTTTAAAAAATCATATCACGTTTTGGAAAAAATAAAGAAAAAAAAAATATTTTTTTTTTTAATTACGAAAAAAAAACATTCATTCTAACTAGGATTTTCTTTTGTATGTGTGTGTGTGTGTGTAATTATTAAATAAATTAATACAAATTAATGTGCATATATTCAACAATTGAAAATAAGAATGTCTTTAATGAATGATAACAATTTGATCGCCAATAAATATTATTTTTAACTTTCTCTTTTGCCAAATGTATCGTTTTTTCGATTGATGTTAAACCCAATTTTTTAGCTTTTTCACCAAATCTCATTAATTGCTCTAATTGATAATCTTTATTCATGTATGTTGTAATGGCATCAACCATTTGATTTAGTGTTGCAAAGCCATCTCCATAACTAAAATGAATTTTAATAATAATTAAAATAATTAAAAAATAAATTTTTTTTTTTTATTGTGAATTTATTGTTTAACTTACTAATCTCTTATTTTTTCAATATTTGTAACTAAGAAATCGAAAGCGATCTCGTATCCAATTGAATTTTTAGCAACAGCTGAGAATGCTCTAGCACCATCTTGTTTACGAATACCGGATTCTGGATTAAGTGTCATATTTAAGTATCTACAATAAAATAAAATAAAAATTAAAAATTTATTTAAATTAATTTTTATTAACATAAAATTTGTATTTCACTGTAGTAGCATAATATTATAAACATAATTCTGTGTTTTTTCCATATAATTCTTTAATATAGTGAATAGATCATTTAATATTGTGAATTCTTATTGTCTATTCGTTGTTGTGAATATTATAATCAACAATCAGATTACCCATACTACTTAGAAGGAATCTATCTATTGTTGATAAATTTATTTAACATGTTGCTACAGGTATTTTAATTTGTGTTTATAGAAAACAATTATTTGTAATAGGAGTCAAATGTTTCTAAACATTGTATACAAATATTTTGAATAATAAAATATTCTCGAAGGCACAGATATTCATTGAAAAAACGTTGATACAGATTCAGATACATGATTTGACAAATTATTGGTAGGAGGTTCTATGGTGTAATGGTTAGCACTCTGGACTTTGAATCCAGCGATCCGAGTTCAAATCTCGGTAGAACCTGTGTCGAATTACTTTTTTTTATAAAATTTAAATTTTAAAAGTTTAAAAAAATTTTCTTTTGCGTATAATTTTTTTTTTTAATATACTGAAAATTAAAAATATTAAGTGCAGCAAAACATTAAAGTCGAATTATAAAGCATATTGTGACGTGTAAATAAACCTATTTTATGAATATATATTTTCAATGATGAGATTTGGGAAATTAACTATATACTAAGAAAAACTGAAAATATCATTTGAAAAACTTTATTAAAGTGTAGTGATATTAGGGGGCATAATGTAGAATAGTTCCCAAATTAAAAAATTTGAAAAGTAATTGAGTTTGAATCACGCATTTATTAATGATTGGGAACCTTGTTTACATCAAGTGAAATAAAATAGATATCCTCTAACTTTCAAATAGCAAAAATATAATTAATTAATTTACATCCAAATGTCTAAAATTTTTATCTAAATATTTAGATATTAATATAATTAATAATTATAATTTTTATTGCGATAAAAAAAATTATCTTTATTAAATGAAAAAATAATTTCATACAGGTTCTACCGAGATTTGAACTCGGATCGCTGGATTCAAAGTCCAGAGTGCTAACCATTACACCATAGAACCACACATACCTCCTTGGTCAAACGTATAATATCAATATTATCACAAATTTCCCCTTATTCAAAATTCCTTATGTTATTTGTTGTCTTCGCTAAAATTTAGTAGACACTTTTTTCACTATTAGCGCTGCTAACGGCGAACAATGATTCAAATATTTGATATGGAAAATTCTTGGTAAGTAATAACACAAACCAAATTATATATTTTTTTAAAATGAAGAGAAAAATATTGAAAGCTTGATATAACCAAAGGTTTGTTCATTTCTATTCCGTCTACCATGAATTGGTTGCTTTATGAAGTTTTAATTTAATAAATTTGCGAAATAATATATTTGAAATTTATTTTAAATTAATTAAAAATTTTAAAGATAACTGTATAAAATATTATTTAAATGTGTTAAATTTTGTAGATTTCTGTTATTTTGAGTTGAAATTTTTGTAAAACTAACAAGTAAAATGATTATTTTTTTCCGAATTCTGATTTTCCAATTATTTCTTACTGGAAAATGTTAGAGGAATAAGAAAAATATATGTATGTAGGTACATATATCTTTCAATATTTACAAAATTCTATAGTTAATCTCATTATAGTTATATGAGATATTTTACACCACACCTCACATAGGTTCTATGGTGTAATGGTTAGCACTCTGGACTTTGAATCCAGCGATCCGAGTTCAAATCTCGGTAGAACCTGTAGGATATATTTTTCTTTTTTTTTTTTTGGAAAATTTCATAATATCAATAAAATTGTTTTTTTTTTTTGTGGTTTCTTAATAAAGTTTCACTTACTTTGCCAAAAGCCATGGTTTAATTGTACAACCCATTGCCGATAATAACTGTTCCCGTTCTGTTGAACTAGTTGTTGCATTATACTGTTTATAAGCAAAATACCATTCAGCATGAGATCCTTCTTGTAAAGCCATACAGTATACAGTTTCTTTTAGATTGGGTGAAATCCTGATATTTTATATTGATAAAATAAAAAAAAGCAATTTGTTATAAATTTAGAATTTAATTGTATATACGATAAATTTATTTAAAACTATGGATATGAGTCAATATTTTAACTATTTTTTAAAAGACTTACATAAATTCTTTTGGTTTTGACATCCATTTTCTATAAATTAATTGAGCAGCGTTTGTACAACGATCATAATTAAACCTACATGATAAACGAACAATACGCGCTCTATGATTTCTTTGCAAATGTGTTTCGGCTGCTGGATCATTAAAACCATAAAATTCGAAGGCTTCTCTAACGAGATATTTCATAAATGCCTACATAATTTTATAAAATTTTAATATAACTATGAGTGTATTTTTATAATTTATATCGAAATTTTACCCTAAATAATTCGAAAGCTGGTTCTCTTTGCATTTGATATGTTAAAAATGTTAAACCTTCTTCGGCAGCAGCCCAAAATAATTCATCTTCTTTTAAATTTGGTAATTCCATTAAAAATGTTAATGGTATATCATATGATAAGTATTCAGCTTTTGCCAAATGTAATGAATCATCTAAAAGTGTTGCCCTTACAATGCTAGGTAAATCAAGGAATCGAGTTTTTAATGCGATCCATGATAAATAATCATAATTGACACGATAATATCCAGCTCGATGTATATTCAAGTAAACATATTTATTACTTGTATTTAATGTTGGAAATACATCTGGTATTATAATATGATCATCGGTATTTGTTAGCCAATATGTTTTAAATTCTGATTCATAATTATGATCATCTGTGGCTAATTGTATTGGTACAAACCATTTACTTTCATCTGATTTGTCACCATTTGGTAAAATGTATCTAAAAGAAATGAAGTAAAAAATTTTTATTAAAAGAAAAAATAATTAAAAATTCAAAAGAAAAAAAATTTACCGTCTCTGTTCTACAATTAAACTTTCATTCATTCGTGTCACATTAATAATTGGATAACCTGGTTGAGATATCCATGAATCCATAATCTCTTTAATATTACGATCTTTATGTAATGTATCCAATTCATGACCGTATTTTGTCATTATATCCCATAAATCATCGCTATCAGCATTTTCATATTGAAATTTCGTAAGAAATTCATGTAAAGCTAAACGAAAAGCTTCATCACCTATAATTGAATTAACCATTCGTACTAATAGACTTCCTTTCGAATATGTAATACTATCGAAAATTCGTCGTATATCATCGTGATTTGTTACTGGAAAACGTATCTCATGGGAGCTTAAATCAGAATCTTCAGCCATTGCAGCACGAAAATCATATATTGGTACGGTTTCCATAATTTGCCATTCTGGATAAAGCTAAAAAATTCCATTTAAATAATAAAATTTTTATTTTCTTAATAAAATATTTATTTTATAGTTACCTTATCAATTGCTAAATAGCTCAAATAAGTTGCAAAACCTTCTTTTAACCAAAGATCATTCCACCATTTTTGTGTTACTAAATTACCAAACCATTGATGTGCCAATTCATGTGCAATTGTTAATGCAACACTTTCTGTATGCGATGCAGATGACGTACGTTCTTCATCATCCGGAACTAATAATGATGAATCTCTGTTTTAAATGAAAAAAATAATGGGAGGTTAAGCGTTTAATTATAATTATTATAAAATACATACATATGTACATGCATATGTATCACAAAATGTCTGTATCAATGTTATAAAATCAATTAAAATCCAATAAAATTTTTATTGTCTCTTCTCTTTTTTTTTTGAATTTTGAATAATTTATACAAAGTTTTAATTTATTTCTCTTTCACATATGCATTTCTTCTCAAACCTCATAGAATAATCTGAGTTAATAACAGGAAAATTTCATATTCAACTTGCTTTTGACAGACATGATAAAAGAGATGACATAATGTCTATGGAAAGATCAATTATTATTATTGCCATGGCTATAAAATTTTTTTTCTCTTTATTATTTTATAGTTGATTTATACTTGACGATCCAAAAGAAAAATTACTCTTCCAGACATTTTTATAAGTGTTTTGCTAGTTTAAGTATTTTTTTTTTGTGGCTTTCAGCAGATAATTAGGGAAATTAGGGGAATCAAAAATTTTTTTTAATAGATTTCATCAATCTCTTAACTATGTACAGATAGACAGCATTCTGTAGGGCACATTTGAAAGTCATAAATTACCAATCTTTACAACTAGTTTAATTTTGTTCTTGTTTGGTCTTTTTATTTTTAGTATATTGCTACTACTTTACTATTATTTTTTATGATTTTGACCTATAATGAATTAAATTAAGTTTTTTTTGAGCTAGCTGGCTAGTTGAAAATTAAATAAAATTTGAGTTTTAATGCAGTCTATTCGTTATGGATTTTAATTATGAGCTAAGGAAGAGAAATTTTTTTGATAGGGAATTAATTTTTTTATAATGAAGTTTTTGAACTTTTAATTTTCATAAAATTCGTCAAAGGGTTTTTAGTTAAAATTATTTGACTGATGACACTTGCATTATAGTCTTATTAATTAAACGAAATTTATCAGATAATTTAAATTTTTATTGAAGTTAAAAAACAATTCTTTGAAATTATAAAAGCTTTAAATTATGAAAGGAAGAAAACTGTTCTCAATAAGTGTGTTATTCTGTTAAAATGAATAAAAAATGAGTATTCTCTGAATGTACAGAAGTTCTCTTACGGTAGTATTTTTTTTATATAAAAATAGACATAATGTTGGTATTGACCTAATTTGTTTACAACTTTAATTTGATTTACTACTTTAAATTTAGGGAGCCGCTCATAATCCACTCATTTCGTTTTTTTTTTTAATGAAATCCTCCTTGAACAATGGTCAATACTTAAATTCTCCTAATAATTGAAAATTTACGTAAGTTTCGATTGACGTGCTGTCGAAAGCTAACATATTATACAATACAGGTTATTTTTAACTTGTTATATTTTATGTTGTATTAAGAATCTCGATAATTTACAAGTAAATCTTGATCGTCAATAATAATATTAATTACTTGCATTATATTGTAATATAATCATTATTGTGTGAATAACAATGAAACATAATATTGTTAATTGACCAAAATAATGCTCAAATAATTCACAATAAGTCATAACACATACAATAAAAAAAAAACAATTTATGATTTATTTCTTTTGTGATCAAATAAAAAATTGAAATTCAATTTATATATTGTTTTTTAATTAAATTAATTATTTCTTCTATATCAATTTCAAATAAGTTTCAAATATAACAATTTCTTTTCCAAAAATCTATTTAACTAACAATTAATATTAATTTTTTATACCGAAAACTACAATTTAGATTTTATTGTGAATATTGTAATTGAAAAATTTGTTTTGTTGCAAAGAATAAGTTGTTAAAATTACATTGTTTTATTGTCACATAATAAAATTGTTATATTCGTATTATACTTTAGCATCTATACCCCTAATAATTGTATATTACATGTAATTTTAAATTTTTAAATAAAATTTTTGATTTTATTAATTTAATATTTTGAATTATTGAAATGAAATAAATTTATTTGAATCTGTGAAGCATGTATAGTCATTCGTTTCCCAAAAAAAAAAATATTTTTATGACATAATAACAAAATGTGCTAATTAATTGCTTTACATTATGTAGGAAATTTTATTGCTTTACAGTACAAAAGTAAAGCCCGCATTGTATTTCTATTGTACAATAATCGTATATTTTCAAAATTATTATTATTTATTTTTATAAATTGATTTACATAATTTGATTTAATGCCGTAGTTTTGATTTTAAATACAAGTAGTAATTATAAAGGAAATGATTAATTCCATTATTGTCTGGATTAATATTTATGATGATTTATTTGTGATTTTTATGGAATAAAAAAATTTGGAATTTAAATTCAATAAATTTAAAACAAAAATTTGTGAGAGTAACAACTGGTAAAAAATCTATGAAGAAATCTTTGGAACCAATTAAAATGCAATTAGCAAAGATTCAAATTTGATTGTGTACTTTTCTTTTCCAGAAAATTTTTTAAGAGAATTTCAAATTAGAAAGTTCATTTGGATAGTAGGGTACAGTGAGTTTACGGTAGGCTCGTCACCTATCTAGTAATGGACGTAAGAAAATGACTTAAGAAACTGGTTCATGGTTATCTACAATATCACGCACCAGCCCTATGTTCCTTCCAGGAGTGTTGTTTCTATAAGATTTTGTCATTTATATGCTAAATTTCAGTAAACATTTTTAAATATTTAGTGAATTTGTCACCTTCAAGAACAAAATTATTGGATATCTGCAGAATTTTATATATTTTTGAAAGAAACGAGTTAGGTAATACGAAAACGTTCCTCTCACTCGAAAACTATATGAATAGCCTGATACTCATTCACTTTCTCATCGGGTGATTGAGCAGCATTAAGTTATAAAATTAAAAATTGAAACTGGAACTGGTACAATTAATTTCTGTCATACTTAAGACATCTGAGACTCTACACCGTATTTGACTATATAAGGCTTAACATGACATTACAAAATATAATTTCATACAAAAATATTTCTTAAAACAATAAAAACAAAAACCAGTATCAACAAAACAAAAACAAAAACAACTTACCTAAATGTTATTAAACCCCAATTTTCCATAGCTCCAAAACCAAAATCTGGTATTGAAACTAAATCAAGTTTTGGTAGTGCATAAGGTATTTCAAAATAATTTTCAAAAAATGGCAAAACTCTACGGGTTAATTTATATGCAAATCTTGTCATTTTTGATGCTTCTTGTCTAGCCCAAATTTGTACAGTTGGTTTTAAATTTATGTCATTTGTTAATGTAGTTAAATTCATATTTGATAAATTTGATATGATAAATGCAACTAAATATGTTGGCATCTTTGGTGTTGTATAAAATTCTTTTTTAATTAAACCGGGTGCATATTCGCTAGAATAATAAAAATTTAAACAAAAAAATTAAAATTTTTTATTTAAAAATTAATTTACCTCTCAAAGTACATATCTGTATTTGATAGTATCATTGATTTTGATTGATCATGAACGATACTTATTGAGAAATTTGCCTTTTTATCTGGTCTATCGATACATGGAAAGGCACGTCTCGCATCAATCGGTGAAAATTGAGTACTGATCATCGATCTATTAAAATTAAAGAATAAAATATTTAAGTAAATAAAATATAGGTGCAAACTAATATTTCAATTAATATTTTAAAGTTAGCAGAGGTCATAGTCACTCTATAAGTGAAATGTGCAAGAAAGATGATAGTTCAGGAGAATTTTTTGTAAAACTGATGGGTGTCAAATTTCTTTTCGCGTCTTAACGTTTTGTGAGAGAGAATTTCTAATTGAACACGAATTCAAAGTTGTATGAAGTTTTGTAATTTTATGTTAAAGAGAGTGTCATATAATGTTTACGTTCAGTTAATTATCAATTTGTTGTCAAATTTATGTCAGTTAAATTGAGATGACAAAATAATAGAATTTAATCGGTTTATTTACGCAATTAAAATAAGTGCTATAAAAGACATAAATATAACAGTATACTTACTCTTTGTTTCCATTTAATGCATTTGTATAACTTGTCTTATAAATTCCTTGTAGTGTATCTGTTATTTTACTTATAAATTCAATATGTAAACTTAATGTAACTCTTTCATGATCCTGTATACCATTCAATATTTTAACATAATATGTTTCCATATCTCTACCATAACCTTTTTCAAATTCAACAGCTTCATCTTTATCGGTACGTACAACTCTTATATCAATTATTGTTATATTTTTTATATCTAATAATATTGGATATAAGCCCTTTACTTTTAGATCTCGAACAATGTCAATTGAAACGGTACCATTTGTTGTTGATTTTTCTAAATTTGGTTGAATTACCAAACTGTAAAGAAACAAAAAAAAAATATAAATTAATAAAATTAGTAAAAAATTAAAAAATTTCCTTAAAAATTTAAATTGATTTTTTGTATATAGAATTTTGGTAAAAAAAATTTTTATTAACTCTAATTGGTAGTTAATTAAAAAGATTTTATTTTTTTTTTCGTTATGGGAGAACAAAGGCAAAATAAATTATATTTGATGAGATTGATTGCGTAGACAGAATTTGGAAAAACATGCTGATAATGCTAAAATTAAATATGGAACCGCATGTACAAATTGAGTTCAAAGAATTTTGCATTAATTTATGAAATTTAGAATTTGAAGAATTCATTTTAAAAATAAATTTTAAGTGACTTTAAGTGGATTAAATGACAAGTTTTTTTTGAATGTAGATTAATATTAAATTATTTAAAATCTGTTCAAATAATTGATTTTAAGCTTCCTTACCCTAAATTTTTGGGTTTTGTTAAATTTTAATTGATGGTAATTATTTAAATTACAAGAGAAACTTCTTATTATAATAGACGCACACGAGTATAACAGTAATTTAAATATTTGATTCATATGGTATTTCGAGAAAAATTGGTAAAGGGATTGAGAGAACTATTAAGTTTTCTAAATTAATTTTTAAATTTTATTGAATTTTGTTTTCACAAAAATATTTATTAATTTGCTGTATATCAAAGTTTTTCAAAATCATTTGTTAAAACTCTGTTATACTTAAAATTAATTGTTATATTATTTGTTGTTTTATGTGTATGTCATGTAATGTGCACATTTTTTATAGGTTAAGGTAGACTTATACAAGAAAGCATCTTAATTTTTATTTAACTTCTTATTATTAAAAATATTTTATTCTAGGCTAGAATCAATTATCATATAAGTTTCTATAAATTGTAAATATAATTTTCATATTTTTATTGATTTCCAAAATCCAAAGCGTTTTTCGTGCGTTTTCAATTCAATCGAAATCAAAAAAATTTTTCCAATTGCACCAATATTGACCCGAATTTGGGAGCGTTGGCGAACAAAATTTCTTCAGATTACTAAAATTTAAAAGTCTGTGCTGTATAATATTGGCCCTCTTGGAAAGAACGAGTTAACTGAAAAGCATTGCATGACTGATTATTTCCAACAATAATTTTCATTTGTTTAATCAAGTGCGGCAGTTTGGATAAGCGGGTATGGTTGACACTTTGTTCCTGTATAATAAAACTTTCACTTTTCTAACTTTAAGTTATGAAGAGAGTGAAAAAAAACAAAAACTACCTCACTTAATTACATTGAACTAAAATGGATTGCAATGTCAATAAAAAGTTTTGAAAAGATTTAGATGAAAAAATGAAAGAAAAAACTATTGATCCAATTAAGGGCTTCCATAATATGTACATAAACACTTTTTCTATATACTTAGAAAAAATTTTTACAAGAAATTGAAATTGAAAGAAAAACAAAGAACCTTTTTTTTTCACTAACGTTTTATTTTAATAAAATTTCACTTTTCAATGGGCTTTGTGAATTGATAAAGGGCCATAGCGAAAGAGAAATTTTGTAATTGTAAATCAATCATGCGTTTATACACAGAAAGGGATTAATTGTTTTTTTTTAACTGTTTTTTTTTTTAGAATGGTTTGAAGGTCAGTTTTATATTTTCCCATTTTTTAAGTTTTTTAATATTTTGGATAATGAAAACGTTTTCCTCTTTCTTTTTTTCTGCTTCTGGAGATTTAAATTTTAATCAAATGATTAATGGCACAAAATATTTAAATAATTAAATAATTAATTTTTCGTGTTTCTTAATTAAAAATTGAGATTTATGATCAGAGGATTAAGTAAATATTTGGAATATAAATGTACCTACTTTCGTAAATCTTATGAATGTAAAGTATAGTCTTGGTTGAAATTAGTATAACAATTCTAATCAACTCATTTACCATTTAATCATACTTAGGACCCATATTTTAAAAGTAATTAATTTTTGAAGAAAAATCATAATTAGCGAAAAAGGATTGCTAAAACTTGTTTTTAAATAAATTTTGTTAATTTAATTGCACAAAAGAGTTACCGTTTATCAAATGATTCGTAAAATACATGTGCGTCTCATTATTTTTCAAAATTTTAATAATATTAATAATGTCGAAATTAATAATATTGCTCAACTGTACAATAATCTATAAAATTATAGCATTAGTAATTCTAAAACGAAATAGATGTATTTTTAATATATGAAAACCGATATAGGGTATAATGCTTTTAAAGCACATAGTTGCGAAACATTGACTTCACAGATTGTTAACGTGATCTTGGTAATAATCAAATTTTGCAAGCGGTAGTTTCGGTTGGCCGTAAGCATAGTGAAATTAGTTTACCTGCTCATATGGTTATTTTCGCTTCGGTTTGAAAAAACATCGAAAATGGAATTGCGGAACATATGTATATGAAGCCTATATGAATTCAGAAACGATTAGGAAGTAAAACGAACAAATTTTAAGGGCAGTAATAATGGCGGTTTCGACAGAGAAGATTTTGAGAGTAATGCCAACGAACGAAAATAATTGCAATATAATAATAGCAGAATCAATATGAGTGTATGATAGTGTAATGATAGAAGGGGAGACTAAAATTATAGACGATTCAAAAGCGGTAGAAATAATTAAAAAAAATTCAGGAGGGTTAAAGAAAAAAATTCAATAATGAATTGGAGTAGCAGCATCGTTCTCATGTAAGATGCATGTAAAATCATCAAATGTCACTACCCATCAATGGAAGAAATTTTTGTGCTTATGAAAGTTTACGTTAAGCAAAAGTGATATTTCTTGATTCACCAAACTGGGCGCAGAAATCTATTTTGATGTACAAATACCTTTGTTTTTGATTTCCGTGAAAGATATACAAGTGGTTTCCGAATGCAAGGAACTTATATTTTTTCTAAAGAAATAAGCATGTGTTCATTTTCGATATTTTTATTTATTTTTCAAAAAAATTATCTATGACAACCACAACACTAATAAAAATCTAATCATGAATATTTTAACATGCAAATGTGCAAAGCTATGGAAAGTTCATAAAACACATTCTTTCATAGTTATTCAAAATTTAAAAACGTTGAAGGTTGCGATATTTTACAATTATTGTTTCAATAATTTCTTTATTATTCTAGTCATACACAACTTATTTAAGAGATTATTAGAAGAGATTAAATAGTTGCATAACGAACAATTACATTGTTTTTTTTTAAGGAAGCACAAAAACTATTGTTGCTTTGTTTCAATTCTAAAGCATTATTTTATGTGTAAGTCATGAAGACCCTATCAATGTTTAAATATTTGTACACCTAAGGTCTAAAATTCTAAAATCTATCACTAGAATCTTTTTAAAATTTATATTGCAATTTATCAAAGAATAAAATAATTTTTTTTTATTCCTTCATTTTTGTCTCTTTACTTGTCATTCTAAAGAATTTTAATAGATTTCCTACATTATATTTGAGCTCGCATGTTACATACATACGTTACGTACATAAATGGTCATTACTTTTACACATGTAAACTGTAAATGTACTTTTAGTCTAAAGCTGATTTAATTATCAGAATTTTCATGATAAAATGTCATTAACCACAATATGAAATTTATTTATTTCATTTTGTTTTTTTTTTTTTTCTTAACATGTGTTAAATTAAAATAGATGCAATAATAATTGCATGTAATGGAGATTAGAATCTAGTATAACACAAAAAAACTGGTAGAAGAGAAAATCAATTTCATCTAACACGCACTGCAAATCACTTTAATGTCTTTATAGTGCATGGGTCAGATAAGTGAAGAATTTTAAATTTTAAAAAATAAATTGAAATCATCTTTTACATAAGGCGTAAATTTTATGCGAATTTTTAAAATTACATACACCAGTTGGAATTTTGTGGTCGAATTTACAATTTGCTATCGTAAAATTTACATAATAATGTTATCATTTTTACTTTCATATCTATATACATATGTATGTACGTACTTTAATTAATGTAGAATAAATTTAGAAGTGAAACCAAACAAGCAACTTTTAGGCATATTAGATCCATAGATTCTTTAGATTCCAAGCGAACCGAATGCGGCACGGGGACATATCTCCTGGACCATTCGTGTACAGTAAGCATACTAAGGCTTTGTGACTTTCCCTCGTCTTGAGCAAATGCACGCAAAGTTATTGACGGATATTGAAAAATAGGGGAATTCACAACTTACTTATGACAAGGAGTCTATGAGCCAAATTGGACCATGGGACTTTCCTACAAAAAAAAAAATCTCACACAATAAGAATTTAAATATCAAAAATTTTTAATTGCAACATTTTCACATTAAACGTTTAAAGTTTTACAAAATGTTTAATTAAACTGCATATTGACAACCGTTTACGTATACATATGTACATACATGTTCACAAATATAAAACTGAAGCGATCAATATCATTTGTGCATATGCGATCGAAAACGTCATATTATTTTATATTTTGTAGAGACCTCTATGGGATTTTTTTTTAGATGGAATGCACGGCAAAATGCATTAAAGAAAATTCTTGTCACAATTTTAATGTTTGATTTTTTTATTTTAGTTTTTTGTTTTTCCAACATTAATTCGCGTATATTTAGTACAATTTACTTTTTATTCAAAACTTCAATAATAGGAAAAAATAAAATCTGTGACGCCAGATGTAAAAGAAATTAACATTACTTGTTTACAACTTTTATTTCCTTATTCGGCCGCTTGTCTTTTATCATTATAGAGATTGTAAGAACATTTTGTATTTGGAAAAATTTTTATTGAATTTAATTACATAAATACATAGAGTAAAGATAATTTTTAAAAATTCTTTTTCAAAAAGTTTCTCAAGAGAAAGAAACCTAAGCCTAAAGCTGAAAACATTTGACAGCAGCTGTGTATTAGATTTTCTTCTCTCTTTTAATATGACGTAATCTTAACGCTATGTCAACTTTTTATTATTGAAT